ACTCATATCTCCGCAAGTATAAGGTAGAACAACATTTTTCATTCTTTCCAGAGCTAAATCATCCAGCTTTTGACCACCTTTATGCCTTCTTCCTGAAAGAATGTGATCAGGAGGTTTCCTTCACAATAAAACATGGAAAATAATAAAGAGTGGAGACCACTGATGTGTTACAATCACCAAGTAACTGATGTTTAAGGTAAGGTTGACAACCAACAGTCATCACACAAGATGCATGTCAAGGCTTAGTTGCAAAATATAAAAATAAGTAATCAAGTAAATAAACCACAGTATAATCTCAGGGCACAGACATAGCAACAAGTTACTGAAGACTGGGGAATATGGGATACTACTGCACATCAGCAGCTCCATAATAAGGGCCCATACGCAGCCTCTATAGTAAATAAAGAGAAAGACATTAATGGGAAGAGGGCTACTCCACATGTTTTCATTTGCTGCAAGGTAAGAGCATGCAGGCAGGCATTTACCACAGAACAGCAATGCCTGGCAAAGTCCCATCGTTCATGACAAACGGCTTGTGTGTACCTATACACTCAGCCTCGCTTGTGAACTCTACCCTTAAGCTTGATGTGAATTCTGTGCTCTAACACTGGCACTACCTTTCAGGAAATGGTTTCAGCCTAGTACTGCCCAACCCTAATAGGAAGTGATAGTCCTATATTAATTCCCATTTCAGAAGCAATTCCAAAGTAACATCTCTTACCTGAAATCGGCCCATCTTAAGAACTCCAGTCCCTGCAGTGGTGGTCGCAGCACTGCTCTCTGCACTCTGTGATGCTGAAACAGACAGATCGGGTAGAAGGGAGAAGTGGGTTAAGAAAGAAATGCAATCCCCTCTCTCTCCTCCCGGCCCTCATAGTCAAGGATACAGTCACCCTAGACACTGCCCCCAGCCCAGTACTCATGTTTTTGCTACTGTGCAAAATTTCAGGAAGCCTCTCTGCATTCCATCAGCTTTAGGTAAGACCTTCACTACTGGAGGGCATCCCTTCTTGAATCCAGTGGCTCCCAACTGTGTTAAACTTGAGGCACCCTCCATGACTTTTTGGAACTTAGTGCCACCCCATTTAAGGTCTAATCCCTTACAGTGCTCATCTCCTCACACTCTGTGGCACCCCTAAAAGAGTTTCATGGTGTGGCAGGGTGGGCAGGGCACTCCTAAGACCCTGGTATGGTGCTCCATGCGGGCAGGGGCTGCTCAACAGGGCAGATTAGGGAGGTTAGGGTGGGTCATTAGACCTCTGAAGGAGGCAGCTGTCCCTGCAGGAGGCAGATGGGAGCAACAGTGGCTGCTCGTGTCATGTAAAGGAGGCAGGGGTAGAAACCCGCCCTGCCACCATCTCTACCATGGCCTCTTCAGCTGTGACTGCTCCTCTAGGGACTTGAATGTCAGTGCTTGGAGCACCATTAACTACAGTCCCTCCCACCAACTCCATGGGAGCATGGAAGGAGCGGGGAATGAGCTGGGCTGAGAAAGTACAACCTTGCATCCACCTGTCCACCCACAGGAGACTGCACAGCTTGAAGCGCAGGAGCAGTTGACACAGGGGCTGCTGGGAACAAAAGCTGTGCTTTTTAATTCAGCTCCTTTCCCTGTTCCTCCCATTCTTGTGAAGCTGGTGGGAAGGGCTGTCAGGAGACTGGGCCATGGCACCCTTTTAAGGAGCTCACAACACCACTCAAAGCAGTGAAAATTACTGCTTTATTCCTCTGCTTCAGTCAAATAGGAGATTAAAGAGGGAGTTTTTAGCAGTATTTCACCTAAAAACTGAAATACAAAAAGGTGCAGCATGCTTAATGTCTGTATTTTTTCCACACCAATTGTTGTATTTATTCTTGATGCATTTTCAGATACTCACTAGTCAACTGTGCTACAAAAAAATCACTCCACTGAAATTAAATCTTCCTCCAACTAGTCATTAGGGTCACAGGCTAAATCTTATTTAATTACTCCAGGGCCTCATTTTACCCAGTCTGCCACACCCCTTTAGCCTAATGGGAGATATGACTACCTGATGCAAACCTGTTTTAACCACAAGTTTTATAGAAGAGTAATTTAATTATCTCCACTCCTTTGAAAGCAAATCAAGATGCAAGGAAGTTTGCATAAGGAAAGTAGTTGGATATTCCCAGTTTTGCATTTTGCGAAGGGGAGGGAGGGAGGGAGGAATGGAACGGACTTCATTTAGCTTTACTTAATCCAGACCAAATACTCCGTGAATCCATTATTCAGATCCTAAGTCTTCCAAATTCATGGACTTCATCTGACCTCTAGGAGCGCACCAATAAAGATTTTTTGGGGCTGATACTGGTCCGATTGTCAAAATGTAGCCCAGCAGCTTGGACAGCAATGTCTGGCTGGCAAGTCTGCGGGGAGGAAGTGGTGAGACGGAGGGAAGAAGCATAAGGGGGGGGGCGGGGGGCGCGCGCAGATTGAGGCCCTCACAGTGAGGGAGGGAGTGGAGCTGGGGCAGGGGGTGGAATGGAGCCATAAGTGGCTCCATCTGGGGGGCAGCTCCCGCTGATGCACATACCCCCAGGGGAGGCATGGGGGACACGCGCCCCTTGGATTTATGCGTGGGGTGAGGACGGGCAGCCTCTGCACAGGCTGGGGCTGGGGGTGGTGCTAGGCTCTTCCCAGCAGGAGTCCTGGGCTGGGGCTGCTCTTGGGGCAGGTAGCAGCACTGGGAAGGAGCGGAGGGGGGCCTACGACAAGTTTTGGGGTAGCTGTAGCCCACCTCCGAGCCCCTCTTGCAGCACTGCTGGCCAGCCCCCTCCCCCAGGGGTGCACGCAGTGGCGGGAGCTGCCCCCCTCCCCACACCACTGGGACGAGTTGCTTGCAGCTCCATCCTGTGCCCCACTCCACCCAGGCAGCGTCTGTCCCTACCCCAACCCCACTCCTTCCCTCACTGTGGGGGTATCAATCTGTCCTCCCCACCCCAGATTTACCAGCTGGATGCTGCTCTCCAAGCTGCCGGGCAGTACTCCTGGCTGTATGCATACTGCGACTGCACCCATGATGCACGCGGTATTTATCCGCAACATTACTGGCCACTTCAGCCAAAAAAAAGCCAACTGCCAATGTCAATTTTCCTTTTATCTGTGCTGATGTGATACAGACCAGTGTATTGGTATACCTCACCTGATCTCACAGTCATTTGTTATGCAGAGCTTGAGACCACACTGTTCTTTCAGTATGTTTATCCTACTCATTATGTTTGCCTCACATGCATATTTCCAGGTTTAAAAGATTCTGTTTCGCTGGCAGGGTCATCAAGGCAGTGATGCACCTTAGAGTGAGAGAAGTCAGCAAAATGAGACCACATAGGTGTAAATTCTACTTAGCAGAATTAGTACTCGGCTACGCAGAATGAACAGTTTTAGTATTCTGCTAAGCAGAAGTTACACCTATGCCATCTCATTTTGCTGACTTCTCTCACTCTAAGGTGCATCACTGCCTTGGTGACCCTGCCAGCGAAATGGAATCTTTTAAACCTGGAAATATGCATCTGAGGCAAAC